GCACGCTCCCCCTTGCGTCTGCCGGGGTCGGCGGATATTGACTGCTGGCTACTGGCTGGGTGCTGCTGTCTTATTCCCTAACGCGCTCCCCCTTGCGCAGCCGGGGTCGGCGGATATTTATATATGTACAGTAGATGGTTTGATTAGTTTGATTGGTTTGGTTTCCTTTTGTGCTGGGAAAGGTCCCACCAACGGAGTTGTATCCACGGGGTTCCCGGCAGAACATTGCCGTGTGTGGCAGACTGCCTCCAAGGCAAGTATGAAGCCGCCATGAAAGCTGCATCGAGGAAAAATGTCATCCCTGGTTGTGCAAGCGTTACTTGACCTTGAGATAGCTGCAGCTGTTGGGGTGTCTTTTCCCAAGAATGTGGAAATGGGAAAATAAAAGGTCGCATATGGCAACATAAATGTTATACATAAATACCATCCGAAAGAGAATGCGTTTGGAAGATTATAGTGGATATCAGTTGCTTCTCGAAAGTGTATTTGGAAATATCTGGAATATGTTCAAACTCTTCAGCTGTCACTGAGCATAGCAGTTGACATCTATCGTTTCTTTCCCTTAGCCGGGCTCCGCCCATGGCGTTGCTGTCGCCGATTTCTCAGGTGGTCTTGAGACATGGCAAGCTCATCCACGCCAGAGCGTTTGGATATGCTGACCTAGAAACAAAAAGGCCCTTCCGCTTAGACACTATTTGTCGGACCTTCTGTCTCACTAAGACCTATGTGCCTTGGTGATTTGGGTGGGGTGGATCAACAAGATCAAAGTTGACCTTCTTTAGATAGGCGGGGTGCCATACGGGCCATAGCTCTATCAGTGACCCTTTGGCAAACTTACCGAGAACAGGGATTCAGTGGTTCACCTCCATTTTCTCATCCAGACCAGGAAAAAAAGGCATCTACTGCCTAATGATCTAATCAGGTCGCTGCATGTCACAACAACCTTTAAGCTGGCATGTTGAGGCGTTGCACAGTTATGCCACTCTCGCAATGACTCAAGTTCTGACCCCTCTTTACGGCATGTTGTAATCAAACTGGGCAACAAGAAGTCTTCATTCTCTTTGGTGGCAGCCATGGCAGCCATGTCTCATGAGCAGTCACTGTGAGGTCACTGTGGCCTTCATGATGCAGGTGGAGCAGGGCAAAGTGCGCCTAGATGACCCTGTGGCCAAATTCCTGCCTGCCTTTGCGGATGTGCAGGTCGGGACGGAGAGATTTCTCAAGTGGCTGGGAGGTCTGGAGATATTGAACAACTATGAACAACATTGAACAACTATGATGTGTTGATGAATGACTGACATAATTGAAAACAGTGCCCGCAACAACACTGACATAATCATCATGAATCCAATGCCCTGGTGGTGGCTGCATCCAGGTGGTGGCTGCTCGCTCCAGTGACGAATCTCGACCATCATTGCTCTGCAAACCCAAGCGTGTGATGCGAATGCAACACTTGCCGCTCAGCAGAGAAAGCCCACCCTAGTCCCACCCTTAGGCCCTAGTCCCCATAGCACATACAGGCCTGTAGCACGGTGTTGGTAACTGGTAACAGGTGTTGGTAACAGAAATTCGTGAGTGGAAGGCAGGCAGATAATGCTGCTAATGCATTGGTGATGCATTGGTGGTGCATGGGTGTCATAGCAAGTTCATAAGCTCATACTGTATTCGTCCTCCAGGCTGATGATTTTACGCACGCTTGTGCTGCAATAACGAAACCAATTTTCAACAGACCACCAGACTTGCTCAAGTGTTCCACGGAAATGTCATGGCACATCATGGCACATCGAGTCGAAAGATCCATGGAAATATCCATGGAAATCGCACACACTTCCGATGGAGATTGGCTGAGATTGGCTGAGGCTAACCCACACTTCCGGTCTCTCCTACGGTTGCGGCTTTGGGGAGGAGCCCAGTGATGCCACTGAAACGGGCTATGCCAAGCTGGTGAACGCGGTAGATCAAGGCTCTGTGAGGCAGGACTGGGGAACATCAACACTAGGCTAACATAGGGAGAAGAAAAAACTCATGAAAAAACATCGAAATATATCCGAAATATATCAACATGATATAGAAAAATCATAGAAGCAACTAATAATTATGAAATATTGTGAACAGCGCAAGTGTCATCAAATGTCATCACAATGGAAGGAACACCATTAGAGGTTTTTGTTCGGTGCGCAGAATCCACAGATCTCCACAGGAGCCTGGAAGACTTCACCAATCGATTGGCAAAGCTTCCGTTACGGTTCCATCCAGGTGGGCCGTGGTTGGCATCGGTGACCGATGTGCGACACCAAAAATACCCCATGACACAATGAATTTGTAAATCAGTTAATTAATATCTAATAACTTATGGATATATATATATATTATACATATTATAATTATAATTATATATATATATTATAAGTAGTGTATACATATATATATATATATATGCAAATACATTGGTACATCTATATATACATATGTATCAATATTAATATCAACTCTATTTGGGCAGATTTTGAGGGCCTCCATTGTTCATATCCAGGTGATGCTTATGCCTATGGATTTTCCACCGATGTCCTGGGCCGGGTCTTGGAAGTTCTCTGCGGAAAGAGCTTGGAAGCGGCTTTGGCAGACCCTTGGCATTGATGGCCTTGGATGGCCTTGGGGTGGCCCCTGGAAAAGTGGGGAAAAAGATGGAACATCGATAGCGGATACCATCTGGTAAACTTAACATAGCTATTGAAAATGACCATTTATAGGGGATTTTCCCATTGAAAATGGTGATTTTCCATAGTTTGTTAATTTACCAGAGGGTAGCCTATCGGATAGCATGTATCGAAACGGTCGTCATAAACCCTTGGTGTTTGTGATCTTCTTGAATCGATGTTGTACAGTGACAAAAAAATGGGATGCTGCGCTGGAGTGAGAAGCTCAGCACATGTTTTGTGAGATTTCATCTTGGTCACTATTGTATGTATATATATAAACATATAATATATATATAATTAAATATAATTGTTTCGTTTCCCCGTGACGGCCCAAAGGACGCCTTGTTTCGCCCACTGGGCATGCACGACACCAGCTTTTCGGTCCCAGATGAGAAGTTGCATCGCCTGGCGGCATGCTATGGCAACGCCAGCACCTGGGGACGTCTCTATGGTAGCCTCAGTGGTCGCGCGCCACGGGTCACCCGCACTGGACTGGTGCGTTTGGATGGAGATTCACCGGAAGAAAGTGCCTGGCGTCGTGGACAGGAGTGCAAAATTCAGTGTCCGGCTCAGTGTTGGGCATTGCCCACATGGCCGTTTGTTTTTGTTATTTTTTGTTCCCTTGCCTGTAACCATCTCCCCAAATCACACTGCTGTCAAATATGTGGAGCCTGAAACGGTTGTTTCACCCCAAGTAGCAGTAGTGGGAAATCATTGAAACTAAAGGCCCCTAGGCATCATTCAACATGACATGAAAACTTCACAAAAATTCTATAAACATGTCGCATTCATTCTCATTCTAACCATAAAGTAACCCTTACACTGCATTGCTTAATATACCTTTCCCATCCTTTCGGCGTTTCCGAAACCAGCGCTCTTCTTCGAGGTCCGGTGGTGGCATCATGGGTCACCTGCAGGGCGGTCTGCTGAGCACCGTGGCAGACACCTTTCGCTTCGTGCGGATGCTGGACATGCGCGGCATCACCAACGGCATCCGGTTACTGCAGGAGGAGACGATCCAAGCAATGGAAAGGCCCAGGTGCGGCTGCGGTGAATCATTGCTACATAGAATCATATAACGATGATAAGAAATACTGGGTGGTGGTTTCAAACATCTTTTATTATCCATAATATATGGGATAATCATCCCAACTGACTAATATTTTTCAGAGGGGTTGAAACCACCAACCAGAATAGGTATAGCACCCCCAAACACTATGGGAAAGAAATGAAAAGATTGGAAAACACAATCTGAGTATAAAGTAGTGACGAATGAGTTGTTTCTGTTTTTGGGGTGTTACTATATGCCCGTTACGATATGCCCAATTTTGAGAGTTTGTTGATGATTGGATGCTATATATCATATATGTTTGCTAGATGAACTGTTTGGGATGCCTCCTGGAAACAGGAAGCCTTCCCCTCGATTCACGGCACGTAGGTTACTTTCCCGCGAAGCTTTGGATTTTCCATGGCCATGTTGGTTTTCTGTGAACATTTGTCGTTCCATTGGATTTGCCACTCTATATGTAAATATATTTTATGTATATATCGAGTTTTAGTACCTCATGGACCTAACAAAACCTTACCGTATGTGGGACCCATCAACTAGGAGCATTTAAGTGTAGTGACCCAGTATTCTCAAATTGTCATCCTAGTTCTGCACAGTATCAATCGTGCTGTTGCTGTTGTAGGAATGCGGTGTTTTTGTTTGGTCGCTGTTATCCCTGTTGCTGCTGCTGCTGTTGTTGTTGTTGTTCTTGTTCTTGCTTGGCATCTCCCCTTATCCATGTTGACCCGTTTCCCTGGCAAACACCAGCCAGTGTCTCTGTTTCAGGACAGATTCTGGGCTTGCCAATGAAGAGCGTCAGTGCTTGCTGGGAGCATTGGCTGGCTTCAGTGGAAAGGAATTTGGTTGGGGAGGAGCCGCTTGCACCTACTGGTCGGCAGAGGCCTCAGTTTGTCCTGAAAATCATGGAACTTGAGGGAACCAAATGCTGTCCCAGAGTGGATTTGCAGCCTATCCCCTGTAGGTTGCTGTAGATACAATATATATATATATTGCACTATATTATAATTATAAAGATATATATACACTACTGTAATCTAGCAAATGCATTATATATATATATTGTGTAACATAGATGAAACATATATACTATCATGTATGAATATATATATATATATATACAACTATCATGTGTATATATATATATTTGTTTACCTGGATTATGTTGTCCATAGATGGGAAATCTCCTGCACCAAGCTAATGATCCCAACATCCAGGGTGTTTTTTGCACCCCGTGGAGCCGGTCTTGATTTTGTTAGGTCGACAGAAAGGAAGGCAATGCCATTGTGTGGTTTACCCAGCACTTGGATATGCCAGAGTGGGAGGACCAGGACATAGTCAACAAGGAAGAAGCTGACACTTGTTCCTGCACAGACTGGCTGCAATGTTGAGTTCTTGCGCCTTTTTACCACCCAAATCAATACAAATAGACAAAGGCATCTCTATAGCATTCTTAATCGTTCTGAGTTTGTGTCACAGGTGAACAAATCTGCAGGGGACCTTCCTACGGGGATGATTGCTGGACTTGACATGGCAAGTACGGGCAGTACCCTCTGGTAAACTAACATAACTATGGAAAATCACCATTTTTAATGGGAAAACCCACTATAAATGGCCATTTTCAATAGCTATGTTAAATTACCAGAGGGTAGACCAATTGCTACTGCTGCCGGTGGCTGACTTCAGGGATCTAGTCTCGGATTTCCGCCCGTGTGAATGGCAAACAGTTGGTCCACAGCCAAAGTCCCGCCCGTGAAACAGCCAAACGGGGCCTGCACAGCCATCAGGACATATGGACAGTACTGAAGAACGGAGCCAGGCGGTTGGCAAGTTGAAGATTGAATTCACTGCTTCTTTGTCACTGCGTTCCAACCATTCTAGCAGTAATTAAAGTTCATTAATTGGTGTTAATTCCTCATGATTTTGGTCAGTCAGTTCTTTCTTGTTTTCCTTGTGTTTTTGCGACATTGGCTTGAAAGATCATCCCAACAAAACAAGTGCAGGATTTCCTTTGAATTTTGGCTACATGATGAAAATGAATTTGCCATATGCCATCATTGAATGCAGGATAATGCAGGTGCAAAATTCCAACAACAAACCAATCATTGCAACGTATTTTCACCAACAAGACTTTGGCGTCATGTGACTGTCTCGGTGTCAGGCGTCGAAAGGGCGGAAGAAGTTTCAGCAGTTCTGCTCTCAAAAGCTCCCTGAGTAGCTCCTCCATGTGTTCGTTGTTGCACCGCTCTCGGTGTTCGAAGCATGTCGTCTGAGACCACTGCAGTCCACCAGTTGACTGTTTGCTGCAGGGGCAGTTGCTGTAGAGTTGCCCACCCATGGCCTATATCAATGCATCCTTAAATGAAAAAAAAAAATCAGTTGCCAGCACCGCCCCCAGCCGTTGCTGGCCATCACAGTTGCTTGCTGGCGCGCCTCCGGATTGGGGGACGACCGGTGGACTCAGCCAATGTTCAACAAGGTGTGGCTGGAGAATATCAGGATCTATAGATGGCAACGTTTCGATCGGAAACATCATCCTCCACATTTTGGCATGTGCGAATATCAGCGCATATTAGAATTCGCCCACATGAGGTAGGCATGAGGTACTGTAGGCATGAGGTAGGCAACAGAAACCATAATTGGAAATCCAACCTCCAGTCACGGCTATGGCACCCAGTGGTCCAAAGGAGGCTTCTGCAGCCAAATGAGCGGAAAAAGTTCAAACCCTCGGACTTGAACTGGCAATTTGGATATCTTTGGATGCCAGTTCCCGAACAATGGACCCATTTTGGGAATTTTGGGGGTATAAGAACAGACAAGAAAATCACACACTCACACGCATATATTATATATATATAGAGATAGATAGATAGATATATGGACCAGGTTGGGGAACATGAAATCCTCTGTGTTTTAATTGAAGCCGTTTTTACCTTTTTGCAGGAAAATCTAGCATCTACAGGAAGTCAGCTGTCACTGCAACTTTCCTACATTCATTTTTCCAGCATAAACGTTGTCAAAAAAAAAAATATATATCAAAGCAACCAACTAAAACAGGTGAACTTTCCACTTCCCAGTTATCAAATTTATCACCTAGTTAGATGTGGGATAAACCCACCTATGGATTATTAATTCACAACTTAGCCAAGGTTCCTATGAATCCATTCCGCAAACGTTCCCAGCCCATCCCAGGTCCTTGGAACAGGTAAAAGGTCCTGAGGAGGTGGTGGGCGAGCTATGGTCCAAATTGGAGGCAGATATGGCAGAGTTCTGGCAGACTTCAATGATGTTCATCTATCGATCTATCATGATCTATCTATCGATCCATCCATCTATCTATGTCTATCAAACATGATATATATATATATATATATACATATATATATATATACATATATATATATATATATCAGAGATATCCCATCCCTGAGACTGAAATCATCCCAATTTACTTGCTAGGTGGGATGGGGGATGGACTGGCCATTTCGAGAACTAGCCATCCCTATTTTCCCGGGACCCAGTTTTGATGCAAAAGTAGTCCAACTGAAAATGAATGGGTTTATATATTTTAAGATGGCAGAAGAAGGGAGGAACATGTTTCAAGCACATTGGATCTTCAACATGGACCCGTGTTGCAACCAATGCCGTTGACAGATGTGTGGACCATTGTGGACCTACTTGGAGCACCACAAGGAACCCAGCCATCAAAGGAACCCCCCAATACGGGACGACTATCCCTGTCAGGTTCGGGCGCGGTTGGCTGAAGAGTTGTGCAATTTCTCGGAAGGCATGTTGGAAATTGTTGGAAGTGTGGAGATATTATGGGTCCAGACAGAAGGTACCCAGCAACACTGGAGTTTTTTCAACAACGATATCCAAGGATACACATTACAACCAGAATGGAGTCATTATTAAAATGACGGACCCCAAGCTTGATATGTTCTTAGTATTTCTTAGTGTCAGAACACCTTTAGCCACTTCTCCAGTCGTTAATTTTGACTTGGCCAACCCACTGAAGTTTCCAGATTTGGGATATTTGGGATGTTTTCGGGCCACAATTCTTCCATCTTGCAGGGTGAAACCCCCAACGATGGTTGCAGGCTACTTGACCTGCCTTCAGCTCAAGTCCTTCTTTGAGACGGGTGCTGCTTGGACTAAACACGAGTACTTCATACTGTAGTGCTTCGCAGGTTTTTCCTGTGTCAATTTTGGCCACAAGCTTGTCTCAGTAGAACGCATAGAAATCTGGAAGTTCTTCATTTTGAATCGAAGGTGTGTTTCCTGACAGATTAACAACCCTGAGGAGGACATGTTGGAAGACAGTTTGCCAACATTGACAGTCAGCCCTCAATCGATAACAGAGAAAGATGAGGTGATCACTGCAACACTGCCAGAGGCACGACCATTTTTGGACCCCATGTGGAGCCGATAAGTCATGAAAGACTTTGCCACTGCCACCATCTGCCACCATGTGCAATTGCAGCCTCCGTAGGGGGCAGCAAGATTCCAACTAATGGTAGGGAGATTGTGGACGGGAGGTGCTAGTTTGTTTGGTACTTGGTGGCTTTATCTTGTTTTCACAGTATTTCAATGTATTTCATAATGTTTGTGTTTGGACGTGCAGCGTGCACATTCGTGGGTACCAGTTCAAACCGGAAAGCTGCTGAAGGTCTTTAAATCTGGCATCGCCAGCATCGATGACGAGAGGTCCTGCCCCTAACCATGAAACCTGCAAGTTTCAACAGGAACATAGCATAGCCTGCTGGACTGGGCAGAGCTTCATCAAATTTATGTTGGGATCCAGTATGATCTGAGTATGAATTGTCAGAAAAAAATGTGCGACAAAACTCAATGATCAAGTTTCAACGAAGATCAAATAAGTGATAATCATATGCATTTACTGTAGTGTATACATATGCATATGGAATCATATATTATACATAATATATATATATATATGTGTAATCATGTATTATATATGCATACAATATATGCATGAAGTTGTTTGGTGTTGTGATGAGTTGGGACATATGTTGAAACCACCAGCGAGCAGTGCGAGAAGCATTCCTGTTTCAGCGGTCATAGTGAGATGATTCTCTGGGTAGAACCGCCAGGAACTGTTCGCCCTCGTTTGCCAGATAAGTATGCTGTTTTGGGCATTAAACTTCGATTGCAAAAACCAACAGGTAACAGGTAACACACACACATATATATATATATAATCATATTAATTATACTATAATAATACATACACATATATATATATCATATATATATGTGTGTGTGTGTGTGTTCGACTGGTGAACTACTAGGTGGTAAAACGACGGAAAACTCTTACCACCAATAGATTTGCTGGTTGATTCCTGATCATTATTGTGTGTCTAAAATTCAGCTTTTGCCTTCTTAGATCATGTTGAACCCCCATGATCATATATGTTTCCTCCAGGAATTGGCTTCTGGAAAAATGCGCAGGAACCAGATAGAATTCCCATATTTTATATTATTTTATATATTTTATGGCAAAACCATAGGGTTTTCCATGGTTTTCCGTGGGGCCCTAGGCCTTAAAACCATCTTAAACCCATGAGATCCCAGTGGCAGCCAGTGGCAGGTACCTGCTGAGTCTGATCAGCGCTGTTCGTGAGCTGGAACGCTTCGCAGTGGGCCGTGCCAGGGTCTGGGATCCTGGATCCTGATGGACGACCGGAGGACCGGAGCAGCCCCATGGATCAATGGTTGACATTGAAATCCCAGAAATTTGGTTGAACAGATAAATGTGTCTAATATATTTATCTGGATAAAGGTTGACATTCAAATTTCTATAATATATTTATATCATAAGTCGGAACATGATGGTGATAGATTGGATTATCAATCTGTTATAGTCATAGATGACCTATATAATAATCCAATCTTGGATTCTCAATTCATAGGTCATAGATAGTCAATTCGATCGTCTCGCGGCTCAGGTCCTGGACTTGCAGTCCATTCGTACTGCCTGGACTGTGGCGTTTCCCTGCCGATGTTGTCATGAGAGTCAGGTGATGTTCCCAAGAGGCACATAGCTTGTGATAGGTAAATAGGCATGAGAATGCATGAGATACCCTCTGGTAATTTAACATAGCTATTGAAAATGACCATTTATAGTGGATTTTCCCATTGAAAATGGTGATTTTCGATAGTTATGTTAGTTTACCAGAGGGTATCATGAGATCATGACTTGGGTGTTGTGCACTGAATGGTGGACGGCCATGACATGTCCGTCATTCCCATGTCATTCAACTCATGACACCGCCAGGCGATGTGTGGAACAGGCCATGCTGCAGTCAATGCCTCAGAATGCCTCAGTGGGACCTGGAGTAGTCCGGAATCTCTTGAAATCTCTTGAGTGATATACTGACACAGAAATGATACAGACATGATACAGAAATGACTTGCATGTTAGTCATGATTCCTCGCTTGGAGCTGCGATTTGAAACCAGTGGTGTGGCTGATTTACCGTAGCCTTTTGGCTGAAAATAATTCGTAGCCTGTGCGTGGTTGCTGCGCTAGCAAGACGCTAGGGACAGAGCGAGAGCGCACTCATCGTTGCTCGGCCGTGCAGTTTCGATCATCTCCCAGCATCAGTTGAAACCTGTATAATGTCAACCCTGGATTAATAAACCCCAAACGGCTGTTTAATTGGGAGGGTACCATTTAAGTATTAGATTATGACTATTCGAGGAGTACCCCCCTAATTAATAAACCATGGTTTATTAATCCGGGGTTGACATTATAAAGTATTATAAAGTGCCCCATATTGTTCCTTTGGATTCCTTTGGGACATTGCGAGGTTGAATCTGCCAGGTCGTTCCTTTGGGCCATCCCTATTTATAATAGATGTCCATTTCACATGGAGTTGGTGTGGCTCAGGGCCTCCAGGCTAGCTGCTGGAAACTCAGCGGCGGCCCCTTTGTTTTCATAAGGGGGTTCAACTGCCACCGTCCTAACAAGCAGAGCATATAACCTGCATCCCTTATTCAATCATATTCAATCTGCATATGTAGCGTTGAATGGTTTACAATGCATAGTCCCAACATGTTCCGATTGTATTCGCTGATCCCTGTATTGTAGATTTCCAGCGCATGCTTTGCACTGAGGCGTATTCTGACAGGCTGCTTGGGAGAAATGAATGCCCAGCAGGAATCGAATGTGGTCGAGGTTTTTCTACCCTATTGGGACTCTCAGCAAAATAAGATGTGGCTGCTGTTGCCATTTGGTTGCCGGTTGTCCATGCTCGCTCTTTTTTCAGCGGCTTAAATCAGCAGAAGACATGTCCACATTGCGATTCAACAGCCTCTGATGGGTCCTGATGTCGATGGCTTTACTTTGTGTCTTTACTGGTCACCTCTCGTTTACAGCAACCCCTCGCTGAGGATAATGTTGACAAAGCCGTTCAGATAATGCAAAGGTTTGGAGATGTGCCTTTGCTGTCTTAATCTGTCTTCAGCCGCCAGCAGATGTTGTTATTGTTCGTTTGCTTTCTTCAATGTCTGCTAGGTATCGTACAGGCAGAAGTAAATCATAAATGCTTATATATATATAATATTATATATAATTATATATATATATATGGATTTTATATATATATATATATATGCAATATAAATGCAATCAAGTTCACGTAGCATAACCAGGTAGAAACGACTGAAATAGGCTGGCGACCACGCGTTTTTGTTCCCTTTGGGCTGGCCATCCGTCATCCATCAGGTTGGTGGAGTAAATGTGTTGAACAGCCAGGAGGGTTTGTTGGAGATCGCAGCTCGGCAGAGATCCCAGGGATCTCTATGGGAGGCCCAACTTGTCCGGTTGATGAAGTCATCGAGGATCAGGTTGGAAGGATAGCTAGGAATTGAGGATAACCAACTTCAATCCCCAATTTTCTATGAAAAACAGAATGAGGATGACCTGATACTGGGCTCGTACACTGAAAGATGAGCGAAGATGAATTGGGACCTCATGTAACGTGAGGCATACTTCGATATCCGGGTAGCAAAGAGGGCTGTGGAAGCGATCAAGGACTGCTGGTTGGTAGCTCCCTGCGGAAACCGCACCTTGGAGCACATCCAGAATGATCCAGAGCGTGAGACTCATTTCATGAATATATATGAATATATATATATGGATATATACTGACAGATATACATAATATTATATATATAACTATATATATATAAGGGCTGCCGCCCCCCTGCCGCCGACCCCGGAAGAAATATATTTGATAGGTTGGAATGAATTTTCATTTATAAATGTTTTTTTTTCATTTGGGGGCATGTTAATATTATGATCCTATGGTTTTATGGGTTCATGGATCTAAGTAACTGTATAATAGTTAGATAGATAGATAGATAGATAGATATATATATATATACACGATATTTCTGGCCCTATTATTATACAGCTAGTGTTGCGCCGCACAGGTGCATGGTTGCGCCGCACAGGTGCATGATATTTTTTCAAAGTATACGGGCTCTGTTTTTTTTGATCCCCCACCTTGTTTTTTTGCAACCCCTCGTGTTTTTTGACCCTCATGAACGAAATCCTACATGAAACTCTAAAGAAACTTTCAAGAAACCCACATGAATGTTTGAAAACCTTGGCAAGATTTTCTGATAAGAAATCCTACACAAAACCCTAAATTAACCCCTAAATTAAACATGAAAGAATCCCTAAATCAAACCCTACATGAAACCCGACAGAAACCCAAAAGAAACTCGAAATAAAATCCTTAAGAGATGTATATCTCCAGAGAATCTCTACATGAAACCCTAATTCTTTTGTTTTATTCTCTTCTGTTTGTATCCTAAATGAAATGTTAAAGACCCTAGGTGAAACCCAAAGAAACCTTAAAGAATTGCTGCTAAGAAACACCTACATGAAACACTAAATGAACCCTAAAGAAATCATAAATTGACTGAAAGAAACCATCCTAAAGAGAGCCTAGGATCGGCAATGAATCAAAGCAAATTGGTTCGACCCTTTTTTTATGAATATGATTCAGGTATCCTGAATTCAGGTATCCTATGCAATGAGCATTCTTGGTGTCCAAAAAGGATATGGGAAAATACGATGGCTGGACATGCTTGGCCATCGTATTTTCCCACGTCATTTTTGGTTTCTACTTATCATTGCAGAATTCCTTTCTTATCAGTTGTTTAGGTGTCCAAGTGTCCATCCAAAGTCTTGTCCAGATACTGCTTCCGCTGTGTTGCATGAGGCCCGGAAAATACGGTTGAAACAAGTAGTTTGGCCCTATTATTACACAGATAGCGCTGCGCCGGTATACAGGGCCCTTGTTTTTTAGGCCCCCCACCTTGTTTTTAGGCAACAGCGCCGCGGAGCATTTGAAGGCAGGCAAGTGCCTAACGTTGCTTTCTGAAGCGACTAGAAAACCTCTTTGGAAGCGCCCAGAATGGTGCAAAGGCCTCCACCAACGCCGCGGAGCATTTGGAGGAAGGCTAGTGCCTAACGTTGCTTTCTGAAGCCACTAGAAAACTTCTTGGCAAGCGCCCAGACTGGCGCAAAAGGCACCAGAATGGTGCAAAAGCCTCCGGCAAGGGCGCCACGGAGCATGTGGAGGCAGGCTAGCCTTGGGCCTCTGTGTCCTTCCTTTTTAAGGGTCACTTTGAAAAGTCGATCCTGGTTCCAAAATAAAGGATTTTGACCTCAGGGGCGTATTTTGTAAAGGGGCGTATTTTGACTATGGGTCTTGAGATCATAATGTAACATCTTTGTTTTATCATCGTTTATTATTGTTCATTTATGTTATCAAACGTTATGATCCATTCAACAGGTGTATTTGGAAGTGTTTTGGTTCCCCTCCTTATGTGAAGATTCAATAAATTATCATAATATATCAGAAACAACTATTCCCTGGGAATCCTCAAACACTAAGGTCTATGGCAACCCTCAATACCCAATAGCTGAAGGGTTAGTTTGGGCCAGATGTATCTAGAATTTTCCCAACCTTTCCACTCCACCGGTCATCCCCTCTGCAGCGGATTTTTCCAATCCGGGACAGCTTCCCGGAATCTTCGCTGGCCAATGCGATTGGGCCAGCCGGGCACCTCAAAAGCCGGCACCAGCAGGTGGTCAAGGATAGGTTGGCTAAATGCCACGACAATCTTTAGGGAAAGGGGACCACAAAAAATCATATGGATTAAATTTATCACATCTCAATATATCCACACATGCGGCTATCTTATTGGATTGATTCTGCATGATTGCTGTCATGCCTAATGATTGGGTAGCAACTCATCATTCCATCCTCAGCCCATTTTCATTCAAACCAATCGTCCCTGGTCCCCTTTGGTCATGGCATCCCTCGATGGTGTGGTTGAAGCTTGGGATGACTCCGCGGGTCTCCGTGAAAGGATGAGGGTCCACAGGTGCCTTTTCGTTCCAGCCAACAGGCAAGCTGAGGCCAAGGCATCAGTTGAGTGCGCCGACAAGAACTTTGATGCTTTGAAACCTCTGCTGGAGCGGCTTCAGAACCATGGGGAGGTTTGCATGTTCATGGTCCCTGCGCTCATGAAAACGATTTTCAGTGGCTATTATTTCAGAATTTTTCTTCTCCTTTAGTAGCAGCCACCTAGCTCCACCAGCTATATATGCAAATGATGTCGCACCAAAAAATGCTAATTCATTATAGTTTTAAAACATGTTCAAGCTTGGTTAGGCTATCATGTTCTTTGGGTCATGTTTGAAACTAGAAGAAATTGCAGGGCCATATAGGGGCATGTTTTTTTCTTATCCAACAAGTTTTGAACATCAGGATCAGACTGTTTTACTCGAAGTTTGACTTTCCAACTCCCAACCGCAACGCCATCAAGAAGGAAGCCAAGCTGGCAAAGGCATTCCTGGTTCTAGTGAAGCGCAAGCTTCAACGTGAGCAGATATGTCGCAGCCCTGCATTCAGAACTTTGCAGGCCCTGGTCTTCAAGGATGCAGTTCCGCCCTTTCTCCAGGAAGGGTGCTGCAATCTCCATGTCTATGGGTGTTTTGATTTTATGTGGTCAAACTTGTTCCTTACGAAAGGGTTTCTGTTCATGAATTGGTCCAAATCTTGATGGGTAGGCTTTGATTCTACAAATACTTTCTCAAAGATTCCAAACCCAGAACTGCCAAGCCACACTGCTACACTGGGAAATAGTAGGGCACCTTGACCTTTCAATTGTCAATGGTGTTTTCTAGCCTGCCTTCTGAAGTCCAGGAGAAGAAGGACGACGAGATTGAAAAGAACACTGAGGATGACTTCGAGGCCTCAGAAGTTCCAATTGAAGAGATTGGCTCGGACTTGGAAGAAGATAATGCGTCAGGGAATGATGAGGGTGAGAACACTGAGGAAAAGAAAACTGAGGATCAGGTTGATTCCGTTTTTGATGACTCCCAAGGAAATGAATCCTATGTTCCCATTGAGGATCGCCCGAAGGAATTCAGTCAGGAGGAACAGGTGGATGAAGGAAAGATGAGCGATGTGGAGAAGATTGTGATGAACTTCCCCCCGGACTCTTGTTGGGAGGAACCCTGGCTCGTTGAGGACAGCCCTGCCAAAGCCCCTGGGGATGAGAGTGAGATGATGGTGGAAGATTGGGCCCGAGTTTCTGAGATGGTTGCATGCCACGAAAGCATCGAGGATAAGATCAGCGAAATCACTGCAAAACTTCACAATGCCAAGAAGCTGCACGCTTCCAGGAAATTTGACTAAAATTATCCAAATCACCATTCATGTGGTTTACTGTGGTTTGCCTTGAAGTTGATCACTTCTCAGCTTGTTTATGTTATGGCTTTAAAGACATTGACAAACTAGTGGAAGCCAACAGCATTTTTAGAGATTTTCCTACTCCATGGGCATATGAGGAACCTGTGCACCAGCCCTTGCCCGTGCTTGCCCAGGAAAGCTGCAGAATCTTTGAATCAGGAGAAAGCTGTGCCTAAGTTGGTCTTGGATAGCCTGCCGTTTGGTTCCGACAACGTTGAGACGCAAGTCTTACACCACTCTGAGACTGAACACTTGGCCAAGGAGTTTGCTGAGATGGAGACTTCTGAGCCAGTCCCGACTGTTCCAACAGCAATTTGGCTATGTAAGTTTAGCCTTGTTTCCACCATCCATTGTGCACCCACCTTTAATGAGCTAGTGACCCATCCAACCCATCATCATTCCCCTGACCTTTTCTTACTTGTTTTCTGTAGTAGCCTGCAGCCTGCAGGTATTGAGGAGGGCTCAGCTTGGGCTCAAGGCAGAAGTGGAGGAGGGTGAGGACAAAGGTGAAGGAGTTTCTGGGAAGAAGCCGAAAGCAAAAGCCAAGAGTAGAGGGAAGGCAAAGACCAAGGCTACTCCAAAAGGAAAAGGTGAGCCAAAGGCCCCGAAAGCCAGGGGCCGCCCCAAGAAGAACAAGGAGCTTGAGTGTGAGATCGAGGGTCGGGATCTTCCTTTGGAAGAACCAATTGAGGAGTGTGAGGAGCCTGAAACTCCAGAGGCTTCAGCAGAGCCAATGTCTGGTGGTGGGGTTCCAAAGTCTGATGACACGAAGGATGGCATGAATGACGACAAGAAGGAGGAAAAGGAGAAGGAAAGTGAGGAGCCTCCAGTGCCTGAACCTTCAAAGCCACCTAGGAAGAGAAGGGCTGGAGTGAAGGCAAGTGTTGTTCAGGAAGAGGCTGGGGAGTCAGAGAAGCCACAGAAGGAAAGCAGGCAGGTGAAGAGAAAGGATACCAAGGAAAAGGAGAAGTCATCAGAAAAGAAAAGCCGGGCAAGCCGATCAGAAAAAGATCCAAAGGAGGCAGCCAAGAAAGCTCGCACTGGTGATGGGCCTGCTACCTTTGCACGACGGGCTTACCCCAGGTCGGACTATGGGAAGATGAAGTGGGACAATCTCAAGGCCATTTTCAACAGCATGATTCGGGCAAAGGTGGTGCAGCCATCCAAGCGAGAGGACTTGGGTCATGATAAAGATCTTGTCTTTGCACAAGGGCCAAGTCTCCATCTTCAAAAACATAACTTTGTGCCCAGTATTTTTTCTGCATGAGACTGTTCCATCATGTTCCATCCATGCCAATCCTTCATTTTCTGAAAAGTGTTGTTAAACATGTTTTTCTTTAAAAGTGGATGGTCCATTTTGAACATTTTTGAACCATAGTATTTGTTCCTGTTGCTGCAACAATTTCCTTACTAGACCCTGGTCACCTTTCTATAAAATAGTAATTATTAATTTATAATAATTTATCAGCTCAAAATCGCATACCCCATGAAATTTACATATATGTTGCCCGAGCCCCACTTTCAATCTGGCTTCAGGAGGACTTTTGGGAGTTCGTTGGCCGTCGCTGGGAAAACATGGATGTCAACCCGGGCAATGCCGAGAAGCTGTCTGAAACGGCCGCTTGTGATTTCCTGGATGATTTGAAGGAAAATCATCCTCAGTTGCTGAATGCAATGTGATCCAATCTAGGATTTGTTTTCCTCAGATCCAGGTGGTTGTCGCCAGGGCTGCTGGCAGCTATTTTTTTCACAAAATGTGGACTGGTTAGCCCTCACCTAGACAGCTCTGGAAGCACATTCTTTAATAGACAATTTGTATGGGGAAAGTATTGTTGGCATTTCAGACTGACTTGTATGAATGCCTCATGGGACAACCAGCGGTGCTGTTCGGCAATCATGATATCTAGAACATTATTTTCTGTGTGAAATTCACACGATGGCTAATTCAAACAGAGTCAGCCTACAAACTTTGAAAGCTTTGGGGACAGGGTCAATAGCCAGTACTTCACAACGATAGGTTGCATGGTCTGGTAGCATGCTGGTAAGTTGAAGCTATGGTCAAGCACTGTTTTCTATATCTAGTGAATCTAGTGTTTCCAACAAGGACCATGGTCATCTTCGATAGTTGCTTACTATTTGCAAGATTTATCTGAAAGCTCTTTGTGCTTTGTGCTTGACCAATGGGCCCAAGTCTTGATGACATGTTCTAACTGGCTCAGCCGTGTGCCACCGTTGTCGCTGATGTGCCCTGGAAAAAGTGGATGACCAAAAAAACATGATTTTTTTTTGGAGGGAAAAATTTGCAGGGCGCCCCAAGTTGATGAAAACAACCCAATTACCCAATTGCCACCCTAAGTCTGTGTGCCCATTCTCCATGGATGCCGGCTACTGAGGCCATGGACGGTGATGTTGCCATTGGTGCCAACGACCTTCGCATTGCTGACTTGTTTTTGCTGCCGGCTGGCAGGTGTGCCAGGGTGAAACTTTATTGCTGGTAAAACATAACGAAACTTATCAAATTGCTACTCTATTTATATAAATAATAAATAAATAGATAAATAAATAACAGTGTTTTTACTTATCTTTTCTGACAGGGCAACATGGGGAATTTCTGTGGGTAATCATATTGCATGATTGCTTTCAATATCTATTAATTTGATTTTGTTGGTTGCACAGATATCCAACATTTGGACCCTGTCCGCACACAGACACAAATCATTTTATACAGCCGTTTTGGCTCTGACCCTTGGTTGTTAGCCCCACTGGTCTTCAATCTGACCTGTCCAAACCTGGTGCAATGGAGTTCATGGATCCATTAAAGAAGAGGAGGTTGAACATAGTTCTGCAACGTTTATACCTCATGGCAGCTCCAAAGGCCACTGGCCTTCATTCAGTAGGCAAAAGGTTGACACCCCAACAAGACAATATTTAACATTTCTAAGATTTCATAAGATGATTATCAAGGCAACTATGCATAACAATCCTGGTTTCCCACGATCCATTTTCAGACCTGACCATCCCCCATGGTGATCCAGCCTGATCCAGCATTGCTGAGGTTCTCTCAGCGTGCATTCTCTTGCTTGCCCTGAATCCGGCGACACCGGTTTTTGGTGAGGTTGGGGAATGTGGTGGTTGGGAATGATAATGGGCATGGGCCTCGCACAACATATGGACCTCAAAATGAGGTGCCCTTTTCCGTGCCAAAATTGTAATTCTAAAACCCAAAAAAGGGCACCTCATTTTGGGACAGCCCCATATGTTTTAGTGTTCATACATAAACGGGATGAACATATATATTTGAAAGGGTTATGCATCATGTTTTCATTGAAATGCTACTGGCATGTTCCCAACATTTCCCAACTTAACAATATCCACCATCTAAAGGGACTGAGGCTACAATGATTGACCCCTGAAATCTTGGATGTTGCACCCTTCTGGGCATAGAACAATGTAGGTTGTTTATTCAGATTTTGTGTTTTAGTACATGTCCTATGTTCCCCTGCTCGAATCAAAATTGGAGGCCTATGGATTTCTGGAACTGTTTTCTGGAACCGGCTGGGTTACGAAGCAGTTCAAAGCGGAAGGCATTCCAACGGCATCATTTGATATCTTACTGGGTGATGCAGTTCCAGGGAAACAAGATGCCATGAATCTGCTCTCTGATGCTGGTTTTTCGTGTCTAGATGCAACTTAATCTATTTCTCATGATGATAGAACTTATTGATTTCCTTCTATGACCCCACTACCCAACAATCCCCAAATTCATCAAGAGATCTGGACAAGATAGTTTTGCAATGTGAATTTGAAGCCTGTCAATTGAGGCTGGTATTGCTGACCGTTCTCAACTGCAAGATGGATGACTTCTTCACATTGATTGGGCTGGTTTGTAGCTCTTTCGTGACAATATCCCAGGGGACGCATAACAGAGCGCCATTCAGTCCATTAGGGCTAGAATGCTTCCAGTTCGTGAGGGATGGAAATTGCCTTACATCAAGGACACTTGTGACTAAAGGTGGTTTGGAAATGTTTGGAATGTGTTCAGTCCTCGCAACCCCAAAATGCTTCTCATAATACTTTTGCATTTTTGTTTAACTACAATCTTGGTTTAGGATACTGATATTTTCAATCCAAACCCTTCATTCACCGTGAAAGAAAATTAAATTCAAAGTACTTTCGCTTAAGGCACCCAGTCTCTTCTGAGTTGCCCGGCCCTTTTGCAGGGTGGTTTTGATCATCCTGGCCATAACGGCGATGGGTGGGAGTTGGATGCTGGAGCAACCAAATTCATCACAAGTTCATTGGCATCCCAGGATCCGGCTTTTGTGGAGGCTACTTCCTCAGGTGGGGTTTTGGGTCTGGTTCTTTTAAGCCATAACCCTCCACAAGTATCCAATAGTATCCACAAATATATACACAAGTATTCAATAGCCTCATTGCCCAAACATCTTATCTTATATTCATGCTAATGGGCTTAATTCATATGGGCAATTCAGAATCTTATTTATCAACCCCTGAGGTGTTTGAAGCACGATGGTGGGCTTGCATGTATGGTGCTCCTACAGCGAAACGACATGTTGGTTGGAGTAATTGCAGAACCGTTAAACTCTTGGACTTGGGTCGCATGATCAAGAAAATTCACAACCAGAAGGGTGGGATCAAGTCTACTAAGACTTACCGAAACCGACGTGGCAAGAAGTCCTTTTCTGGATCAAAATTTCTCAAGAGCACAGGGCCACTAGTCCAATTCAGGCCAATGCTATTTGATAGTTTTGTTTTGGTACTGATGCTTTCCCTGTTATTGTTCTATCTTTTGGGGGTTGTGCCATATGTATCCACAGAACATGTAACAAACACCAGTGGTTGGGTCAGGTAAACCTATGATAGAATAGGTCCCCAAAGATGAGTTTTGGGGACCTATTGTTTTCATGCTGTTCAGCTAATGCCATGCACCTTTTAAGGTCTTGCCATTCTGCTGCCCAGGACTTATCCCCCCCTCTTTGCCAAGAAATTGGTGCACCTCTATCCTCGCTTTTGCACCAAGCGAAGCCTGTGGTTTGGCACAACGCTTGAGGAAACCAATTCTGAACTCAGCATTTTCTTGTTTCAAACCCAAAAGTGGGAGGAAACAGACTGGTGGGATGATGCAAATATGAAATCTGTGTTTTGCTACCTTCGGGGGGCAAAAGACTTAGAACTTGGGAACCTGCGGCACCTCTTTCCCACTGAGTTGTGAAAGCTCACTTAAATGATTTTACAATGAATTTAGATGATTTTCCAATTTCTCATGCGTGATGATTCAACATTTCCTTCAGTATACTTTACCAAGCCAACTTTGATGTATTGTTTCTTTAGGCTGTGTTTGGCTTTTATTCTGGAGAGGCATTGAGATGTTGGCATGCCGTTTGTGCCTAACATGGGCCAATTCATAAACAGCCGAACAACTTTTGCCAGTGATGAAAAAGGTTTATATCTGCCAGCCACTTCACTGTGTAACGCAGCTTCTGAAGCAGGACTTTCACCTTCAGGAGTGAATGATGGCACTGTATTGTCAGTATTGGTCTTATTTAGGGTAAATGTTGGCTCTTCAGGGGCAATGTCTTGTAGATTTGGTGATTTTTTAAGGGAAAATTGGGAAACTCAGAAATACATGCAAAATACGTGAAAAGTACGTACAAAGTACGTACCTGAGGCGTACCTGGAGTGTACCCCGTACAAAGGGCGTATTTTTCCGAACAAAGGGCGTATTTTGGCGTACGTGAATACGTACTTTTTACGTATTTTGAGCGTATTCTGAACTAGTGGTTTTAAAGGCTGTTTATTGCAATTTAGCCCATCTATGACATGGATAACCCTGCAGTTGCACCAACTACCCTTCAAAACAGCTTGGCCATGCCTGCAGACGGATCTGGCTCATCATTTGCTGGGTGTTTCAGATAACACCTGGCAGGTTGTGGGTGGTGATGGCTCCAAAGGCCAAGTCGGCAGTTCCATCTAAGCAATGGAGCTGCTCTGAACTTACAGATGGTCACCAAAAACTTGTGAAAGTGAAGTTGGAGACGCCAGGGAAAGACCAGTTGGAACTCGAAATTAAGGAGAGCTATGGTTGGGGGTATGGTTTTAAATTTTCATGCCAACAATATCAAAGCACGCTTGCATGTTGATCCCCAAGGTTACTGTATTATACTGTATTTCAAACCTGTTTTTCCAGGAATATGAGAAGAAGCTTGCACTGCTGAAGAAAGCCGTCGACAAGAAGGGTATTTCAGATCCTGGCCTTTAAGGTTTGAAAGCTTCAAGTCCCAGCTTTATTCCAAAATCTGGTGCATAGATGCCTTTACATATATTTGCACACATGTGTAAAATGATGATACCGTATACCTAGCATTGATTTTGACCTCATATCATCTTAGGAAGCCGAGACCTTGCCAGCTCCTTGCCTTAATTGCTAGTTGCCATAACAGTTGTTTCATATGTGTGTGTTCTAACTTCATTGGTTTAAAAAAACTTTGGGTGGGGCATTTCACCATGAGGCTACTGAAGATGAGTTGGCAGCGGCCAAGCCAGCTTCGGCGAAAGCCAAAGCCAAGACATCTGCCAAGTCCAAAGCCAAACCGGCTAGTGCTACCAATAGCCCTGCACCGAAGTTGGCTGAGAAACATCCCCGAAGTCCAGGGCAGGGATCTCCCAACCCGGTTGCAACAAAGAGGGTCAAAGGGAAGCAACCAGAGGCTGACCAAGCCAAGGTCATTGAAGAACTTCGCAAGGTATCTATGGGGACTAGTGTGCATGTGCAATGTGTACCTGACATGTGTGGTTTCAATGCATTAGTAGACTTACATGTTCTGGTTCCAACCAAGAAGTTATATACACCATACTGTATACCCTTCATCTGGTACCTTCCCGGTAGGCGAATGCAAAGATGAATGAGGAGATGGCCCTTCTTCGACAATCTTTGGAGAAGAAGTCACCTAGTTCTTCTTCCTATGCTACACCTCCACCCAGAGTTGCAGCTCCTTCCCCCAAAGACAAGCCCGTCAAGCCCGTCAAACCGGCCAAGGAAGTGGTGCCTCCTCCGGACAATCCAGCACCACCACCCTCAGAGGGTGCTCGCATGAACCGTTTGCGCAGGTTGTGCGAGCGCAAGCCGAGTGGGAAGTTGTTGGTCCCAGAATCTATCCACTTGAAGTGGAAAAATGGGGGGAAAGATAGAGAAGCCCTGATTGATGAGTTGGAACGTGCTGGATGGTCAAAGGACCCAAATCCCTTCAACATGAACCATGTTTCTTTTCAAAATGTTCAACAATAAGATTGGCTGGTCCTTAAGGTTCACTACTTGTGTGGTTTCAATTTTCACCCCAGGACTTGTTCATCAGCCGGGTCACGAAAACTCTTTCCAAGACCAACAAGCTCAGCAGATTGAAGAAACGAGGATGGTTTAGCAAGGAAGCCATGACCCGAGTGTTGAACTGGAGTGCGCCCCCAAGCTACATTACTATTTTTGTTGTTGCAACTCCCCACTTCTTTTTTTGTTATCCAATGATGTTGCAGGGAACACCCCAAAAAAAGATATATACTTATATATCTTATATAGAGCATACATCCTTGACTTGCCAAGGTCTTACATCAAGGGCGTGGTCGAATATTGCGAGAAGCCTGGGAATGTTGGGCGGCTGACGAAGAATCTTTTACGCAACATCACACTCGATTGAACATTGATTTCACATGTGCACCAGCAAACATACCAAGAGCAACACACAATTCTTTGCCACGAGCATGTAGCAGTAAATTTGTGTCGGTTTCATATTGATTTGAAAATCTCAGGAAAGATCGATACAACCCAAAGTTGAAGAAGTATTATGTGGTTTATGAGGAAGGTGATGAAGAACTCAGTGAGGATGAAGAGCGTCATACCCAACAAGACACTGAGGTTCCCTGCATGCAATCTGTAGCTGAACCAAAATCTTCTCATGCTCTCTCATTTGCTCAGCCTCAGGTTGGCGAGGACAACGTGAACTTTCGCCGACTTGGCATTTCCCGGGCCGAGTCTGACGATGATGGTGATGAATCTGATAAGGAAAAGGATGCCACACAGGTCAACAGTGCCAAGAAGGAGCAATACTAGTATACATGCATGTGTTTTTACTTTATCCTACAACATATTTTTAAGATGGCAAATGTGAGAACATCAAACAGTCTTGAACAGGAGTATGAGAAGTTTGGGCGCTTCGCTGATTCGCTCATTTCCAGATCGGGGAAGTTGTCTGAGTTGTCCCAACAGCTAGAGTCTACACTTGCCGAAGCTGGAAAGTCTGAAGACAGTCCTGATGGCAAACGGGTTGCCAAGTCTGATTCTTAATCCAGCTATTCCACCATACTCCACCATGGCTAGTATCTCTTAAATTGTGGGGGGATTCTGATCTAAGATGCTTTGATAAATCTTTCCAAATCCTGGTCAACACAGTCACTGCCCCAACATGACCAGCTCAGGTGTGTGAAAAATTTGGAGTCTGCTGTGGAGACCTTGGAGGAGCAGTATGAGAAGTGCGAGCTCACCAAGCTGGATGTTGGGGATATGTGTGCCACAAATTTGGGTGAAGCACGTGCGCAGGAGTTTCCTGACCTTACCACTTTTGTTGTGGTTTTAAATTTCCCATGTCAATAAATATTGCTTATTTCCACCCAGCTTGGCATACCTTAAGGGATCATGACCACCCCACTTGTGAACAATTACTCCATTAGGCTCCAGAAGAAGATTGATGCCCAAATCCGCATGACTACAGCAGCGTGCCTTGTCACCACCATGGGCTCACTGATGTTCCGCCATCACCTGCCACAAACATATGTCTGTCCATTGCCGGGCAAAGGTGCAGCAAAGTGACCACAGCAGAGGCCGCAGCCAAGTATCTTAGCTCAAACTTTAGTGTGAAGTATGTCTGATCTACATTGTATAGTTTCCTCGTTATATGATATGTAGAAACAATATATGTTGGGTCGTGGTATCAAACTATGTTTTTTATTTAGACATGAAGCGGGCATCTGAGCAATTTTATTTTGATGATAAAAAATTGATCATTCAATTCAACCTGCATAGATGATATGATGTACCTGTGATTATGCAGTGACTGGCCCAGGAACCTTTTGAAGATCCTTCGCAAAGTCAACCAGGAGTGATGACAATATCTCTTGGGAAAAATCCAAGATCAGTTGAAAGACCGTTTTCAGGTCTGTGCCGTTGGCTACATGGTCCATAGGGCATAGTTTCCAGGGACCAACTGTTTTGTTTTGAGCTGGCTGCAGACTCGCTACCATGTGATTACACGTGAAGAGTTAAATCAGCCTGCTGGGGTATGGCTAGCTCGAAGTCGCTACAAGTGGGTATCTGCAAAAACAAGCGGATGAGATTGCTGATGATTTCCCCCCATCACCCCATCTATGCATGCATATATGCATGTATATAACCATATGGAGATCTTCCTATAATGGGGGATCCCAAAAAATTGGTTTCAATACTATGTTGGGTCTAATTTTTAATAGTTGTGGGCACCAACCCCATTTTAGGAAACACCATATATATATATATATATAACCCATTTGTTGGTCACCTTTTGCCCAGTTAATCAAATGCCAGGTGGTCCTGATCCAGAAGCGGTCCTTCGGCACTGTGCGCGCCTGATCTCCAACGGCGTCGGAGACCCAACATCCAAGGGAACCTGTGTCGTGGAGGATTGGCTGAAGTTTCAGTGAAGCTACATTCAGATCTTTATATGGCATATGGACTGGACAAGTCATACAACGTTTTTTTGAAATTATCATGAACTATCTAGTGTCAATATCATGCAGGGAATCTTTTCCATCCAGGACCAAATGGGTTGCACGTATCGCAGCTGAGTTTTCTGATCAAATGGAGATGGCAATATATTTCACATTTCCTTTGGAACATGTTTGACAAGTTGTTCATCAATGTTCTTTAAATGCAGTGTGTTTTCATGTGTTCTCACATGCATGCATGAAAGCAGGGAACCTCTGCATGAAAAACTTCAAACATTGCCAAAGTCATGCAACATTCATTGGACACCAGAGTTTGTTTTCAATGGCCGATGATGGCGATGACATTCTTGTGGAGCTTCTATCCTACAACTGCCCTTTCTCGGGGAAGAAACGTGTGGCTGGCCAAAGGGATGATTCTGTTGAAGTGCCCCTTCCCAAGTAACTCGTCGATTAATACAAGATATTGGGCCCTCTGACACCTGATGATTTCAAAGCTGGAACCCTCAAAACCCCCTCATAGATTTCTATGTCATGGTTTTGTTTCCCCACTCTCATCGCCAAGGTTTCAGAAAGAACAGGTTCCAATGGATGGATTCTCGACTACAAAAAACAATATTCTGGACACAGATGCCATAGATATGGAATATTTTGATAGGGGGAACCACCGCATCAATGTCGCCTTGCCTGGGCCAACGAAATCCACTTCCACGGCCATCGCCCATGTATCTCAGCAGGTTTGGTGGTAGCCAACATGTTTCAAATAAGATTTGGTTTGTTTCTTTGGGTTTTTGGGGTATGTTTGGGTTTCTTTGGACCTGTTTTTTAATCACTAATTACCCCATCAATTATCCCATTAATTATCCCACTAACTTTCCCACTAATTTTCCCATGTCATCCCTGTGGATCTGAGGATATCCCCAAAACGTTTGGAGTTGGTGCGCCTACTGGTGCTGAAACCATTGCCGACCATTGTATGCCCAAAGGTGCCAAACCCCCAACTTGTGGAAAGTTGCTGGGATATTGTAAAGACAAGGTGACAACTTTCCGTGAAATTCAAGGGATCCGCGTTTGCATTTTTAAAATTGGGGTAACAGCAGACCCTGTCAGCAGATTCCAGCTGTACTTGAAACAAGGGTTCACATCTATGTGGTTGATAGCTACATCTGATAGTGTTGATTTGGTGCACATGCTGGAAGCTGCGCTTATTTCAGAGTTCTCAAAACATGTGGGGTGTAGGAATTTGGCAGGCACTGGGGGAGATGGTGCCTTAAACCGAAAACCACTTGCTGAGCCCCCATACTATGTCTATATTACTGGTGGAAGGGCAGACCAGCCACGATGGGTTGGATGAGTGCTTCCATGCGAGACCGCGAGGGCAAAAGAAAAGATGCTGAACTCTGGGCGCATTTCTTTGGAGTCCTTGTGCGTTCTGTCAATTGATCTTGAAAGATTCCTTTTGAAATAGCATGTCATCCTTTCATGGCAGTTTGCTGACCCAGAGTGCCCCACTACTAAATGCTTCACCAGAATACATTCAGATGACATTTGCTTCTCTGAGGCCCCTTGCAAGCACCTTGTGGAACTGGCTAGAGCAGAGGTGGATCTGAATCCGCGGAGTGGCCGGTACATGAGGGCATTTGCCAATGTTAGACTAGAAGATGCAGAAGTTGGTGCTCACAGAGTTTTATTGGATGCTGGAATGACTGCCCCGATTCGGGTGGAAACTGTGGACTTGGGAGAAGGGAAGCTCAAACGGTTCCCCTTTATCAAGCTGAGTGAATGGGTGCAGCATCTCCTGGATACTGATAGGCTTTCGAGGCAAATGGTTGGCGTTCCAACAATTGCCAAGATGAAACCAGTCCTGAAAGAATTTTGGACAAGATTCCGAGGGGTGAACCCAACTCATGGAATCTTTGCTTTGGAGTCTGAGGGTGCGCTGTCACTTGACACCTGCATCCCCTTTTACAGCCACACTGATGAGGGAAGATCATATAAGCATTTGCCCCTTTGGATCTTATCATCCCATGGTGCAATTGGACGTGGGACTCGTTCATACCTGGCCTCTGGAAAACACAAAGCCCCATTGAGACGCAATCCCATGGGGTTAAATTTCCTGGGAAAGACTTGGTCGACCAACTTCATTTTTGCATCTGTACTCCAGACAGTGACAGCTGAATGCCCTGAAGCCATTCCTGAGCTGGTTGAGCAGTATGCAGCTGATGTGCGAATGCTGTTGTATACTGGAATTTTTTCCAGGGATGGTCAGACGCATGTGACCTTTGCCCACATCGGGACGAAGGGTGACCTCCCGGCCCTCGTTCGGCTGGGCTCGTTGAAGCGGTCCTTTTACAACGTTCCAAGAGGACCATCCTCGAAGAAAGCATGTCAGGGAATCTGTCATCTTTGTCTTGCGGGCCGCGAAGGACAAGATGCGCTGCCCTTTGAGGATGTTGGGCCAGGGGCTGGATGGGTGGCTACTATAGCCCAATCCATTCCCTGGAACAATACACCAGCGATTTTGGCAGGGCTGCCCTTGAGTGCGGAGGACCAGATCAAATTCTTCAACACAGACTTGTGGCACAATGCGCATCTTGGAGTTGTCAAGCACTTCACAGCATCGGCTTATGTTGCAATAGTGGAATCGGACCTGGGTTCCCTTCCAGCTGGCAGTGTGGAAACCAAGTTTCGTTGGATCTCCAATATCTACAAGGCTTACTTCCGTTCAATGAGGGTGACCCCGCTTGTTTCAGAAATCAACCGGGACACATTGAACTTCCCTGCTAGCACAGCCAGCCCAATTGGGAAATGGAGCAAAGGGTCGGCATCTACTGAGATGATGATGTTTCTGGACTATTTTTGTCGAAACTACATTGATGGCAAGACTGCAGACCCCATCCTGGTTGCAATTGATTCTTGGTTGCTTCAATTTGCAAGATTTGGTTGTTCTCTTCATGGACACATTGAAATCCAAAATTATGTCCTGTATTTAGTTGATTCCAAGCCTGTTTTTTTCCTGGCATTGGCTTTTCTGAGGCTGGTGCAGCCCGAGCTTTGAATGTGGCACTGGCTGCAATGTATGGGTCAGGATTTTGGATCCGAAGGGAGAAAGGTTTGCGATTGGCGAACTTGATTTTCAGATTCCTGGCTCTTTATGCCACCTGTGCCCACCTGACACTTCTCCAAAGAAAACGTCGGTTTGCTATGGTGCCCAAACTTCATATGATTGCACATTCTGCTGTTGACTTGCAGCATCAAGCTGCCAAGAGTGATTGGGTGCAGAACCCATTATCATTGACAAATCAGATGCAGGAGGATTATATCGGCAGGCCATGCCGTATTAGCAGAAGAGTTAACATCAGGTCTTTGCATCGAAGTCTCATCATGAGAGCACTCATTGTATATCAGCATAGCTTGAGGAACTCTGATGTGGATCTTCGGGGAATGGACGGGTATTCGGATTTGTGACCCACTTTGTTCTATTTCCATGGTCCCCTTTGGGTAAAAAAATATTACCAAATATCAATTGACCATTTGTATTTTCACCTGTCCATACCCGGTTCTCGGCTTGGCACCCCAGCGGTGAAGCAAATGCCCCGAGCGCTGGGGCCAAAGGTGAGGAAACAGCTTCAGATGTGGTGGCAGGGTGATGGGATATGTGGGATTATTGTGGGATATGGTGGTTTACCCCAAAATTACAAGTTATTCAGAAACTGGGAAATCTGCAAAAGGGCGTGCTTTTATCAAAGGGGCGTATTCTGGATATACAATATATATACATTCTATTTCATGGTCCTTTGAACAAAACAAGGGACAAACCGGTTCCAGGAGTGCCTAACGTTGCTTTCTGAAGCCACGAGAAAACCCCTTGGAAAGCGCCCAGACAGGCGCAAAAGCCTCCGGCAAGTGCGCCGCGGAGCATGTGGAGGCAGGCTAGTGCCTAACGTTGCTTTCTGAAGCCACGAGAAAACCCCTTGGAAAGCGCCCAGACAGGCGCAAAAGCCTCCGGCAAGCGCGCCGGGGAGCATTTGACGGCAGGCTAGTGCCTAACATTGCTGTCTGAAGCCACTAGAAAACCGCTTGGAAAGTGCCCAGACTGGTGCAAAAGCCGCCAGAATGGTGCAAAAGCTTGCGGCAAGGGCGCCACGGAGCATGTGGAGGCAGCTGATGCTTAACGTTGCTTTCTGAAGCCACTAGAAAACTTCTTGGCAAGCGCCCAGACTGGTGCAAAAGGCGCCAGAATGGTGCAAAAGCCTCCGGGGCAAGGGCGCCGGGAAGCATTTGGAGGAAGGCTAGTGCCTAACGTTGCTTTCTGAAGCCACTAGAAAACTTCTTGGCAAGCGCCCAGATAGGTGCAAAAGGCGCCAGAATGGTGCAAAAGCCTCCGGCAAGGGCGCCGGGAAGCATTTGGAGGAAGGCTAGTGCCTAACGTTGCTTTCTGAAGCCACTAGAAAACTTTTTGGCAAGCGCCCAGACTGGTGCAAAAGGCGAATGGTGCAAAAGCTTCCGGCAAGGGCGCCGGGAAGCATTTGGAGGCTAGTACCTAGCGTTGCTTTCTGAAGCCACTAGAAAACTTCTTGGCAAGCGCCCAGACTGGTGCAAAAGGCTCCAGAATGGTGCAAAAGCCTCCAGCAAGGGCGCCGGGAAGCATTTGGAGGAAGGCTAGTGCCTAACGTTGCTTTCTGAAGCCACTAGAAAATTTCTTGGCAAGCGCCCAGGCTGGTGCAAAAGGCACCAGAATGGTGCAAAAGCCTCCGGCAAGCGCGCCGGGAAGCATTTGGAGGAAGGCTAGTGCCTAACGTTGCTTTCTGAAGCCACTAGAAAACTTCTTGGCAAGCGCCCAGACTGGTGCAAAAGGCCCCAGAATGGTGCAAAAGCCTCCGGCAAGGGCGCCGGGAAGCATTTGGAGGAAGGCTAGTGCCTAACTTTGCTTTCTGAAGCCACTAGAAAACTTTTGGCAAGCGCCCAGATGGTGCAAAAGGCATCAGAATGGTGCAAAAGCCTCCGGCAAGGGCGCCGGGAAGCATTTGGAGGAAGGCTAGTGCCTAACGTTGCTTTCTGAAGCCACTAGAAAACTTCTTGGCAAGCGCCCAGACTGGTGCACAAGGCGCCAGAATGGTGCAAAAGCCTCCGGCAAGGGCGCCGGGAAGCATTTGGAGGAAGGCTAGTGCCTAACGTTGCTTTCTGAAGCCACTAGAAAACTTCTTGGCAAGCGCCCAGACTGGTGCAAAAGGCACCAGAATGGTGCAAAAGCCTCCGGCAAGGGCGCCGGGAAGCATTTGGAGGAAGGCTAGTGCCTAACGTTGCTTTCTGAAGCCATTAGAAAACTTCTTGGCAAGCGCCCAGACTGGTGCAAAAGGCTCCAGAATGGTGCAAAAGGCTCCAGAATGGTGCAAAAGCCTCCGGCAAGGGCGCGGGTGCAAAAGCCTCCGGCAAGGGCGCCGGGAAGCATTTGGAGGAAGGCTAGTGCCTAACGTTGCTTTCTGAAGCCACTAGAAAACTTCTTGGCAAGCGCTCAGACTGGTGCAAAAGGCACCAGAATGGTGCAAAAGCCTCCGGCAAGGGCGCCGGGAAGCATTTGGAGGAAGGCTAGTGCCTAACGTTGCTTTCTGAAGCCGCTAGAAAACCTTATTGTCTGAAGCCACTACACTATCTGTGTCTGAAGCCACTATAGAAAAGCTTTCGGAAGGCGCCCGGAAGCATGGGGACGGCGCCCGGAACCATGCGACGGGCGCCCGGAAGCAGCTTGAACGGGAAGCATCTAACGCCAAGCTACTGCCTAATGCTCAGGGCTTAACGCCACTTTTCCTCGGGCGCGCTCCCCCTGCAGATGGCTGGGGTCGGCGATGTGTATGTATACACAACATATGTATCAAGTGGAAAACATGCTTGTACATGCGTGTACATTCTGGTACCATGCTTGGTACCTAGGTAAGGAGCCAGGATTGATTCCTACTGCAACAGGAAGCCTTCAAAACCACTAGCCACACATGCACCAGTCCCTGAGGAAAAAACGAAATTGCAAGCGCCAAAAATTGCAGGGTTTCAACTGAGCATACTCCAATATAAGATAATGCACATTGGCTAGCGTGAGGATGCAGAAGCTAGACGGAGGATTTTTGTTGAGTTTGTGTCCAAAGTCGTCGGGTTGTGGCTGGTTCTTTGGGTTATTTCATGTTATGTCTGTTCCATCCCAATCTGGAATGATGAGGTCACATTAAGCCCACTTGGGTTCGGTACATGAAAACAGCTTCACCCCTTGTCTCGAGGCCGGGTGCGATTGCCAGGCCGATCTGCCAGTGTTGGGTGCAGCGTTTGGGTGCAGCGTTTGTGATACTCCCATTTTGGCCGATGGGTCTTGGCCGATCGCCATTTAGATCAGCATGTCGACCCTATGTCACTATGTTCTGTGATGATTTGTGATTTTGGACTGCTTGATTTAGACCCAAACTGAAGCGGCCGGAAGTGGCGCATTGATGTATGATATAAGATTGTGTATGTATATGTATAATAATATGTATGTTTCAAGAGATATGATATATGATGTATGGCTTATGATATATAATATTTAGAAGATGAACATGAAGATTAACATGATGATGATGATGTTGTTGATGATGATGGCCATTCTGCTGAACGGATGAAATCTGGTCAATTGAGGCCCCAATCAAATCCCTAATTTTCCGGATGTGGCAGCACATCCCTATCTCTGACGTCGTTTCTGAAATTGGATGGTGCCTGGCAGGATCCACTTCGCTCGATCCCAGCGTCGTTGATAAGATTTCCCTGTCAGAAATGTACATTGATGATCCTGATAGGGACTACTACACCTTAGTGCCCCTCGGATCATTTCGGCTGCAACATGATGGGAACATGATGTTACGGTTTTGTGGGGCAAATTCCGAGATTATGGGATTTATCTTAAAGCATGCTGAACCAATTTTTGGACCAAATACATCCAAATACAGTACACAACTTTAATCTAGAGAGAGAGAGAGAGGGAAAAAAGAAGAAAGAAAAAGAGAGAAGATACCGGACAATAGTTTTATGATAGTTTATGCCTATGCCTAGTATATGTAGATGGCACGATCAGATCATCTCTACACAACATGTTGGCCTTGTGCTTGAGGTTCTACGACGTGCGTGATGCAGCCGCATATCGGGAGACCATGGTCTTTGAAGAAAACGGTAGCGCTGTGGACCCGATAATTGAAAGCAGTGAGCAGCTGCACAACGAATGGGTTGAGCCTGGGGTACCTTCGCCTCCGGCAGATTGGAGCGCCGCTCCGGCCGGTGTGGCTCATGGGCGCGGCCTAGTGGCGGCCAGCGGCTGGTGGCCAGGTGGGCCTGGTTGGAAGAAGGAAGATGGCATCATGAGCAGCATTGCGGAAGGGGATGAGAACTCAGAGACCCTCGGCCTGAACATGCCTGAACTTGGGATCTGGGAGGTCAAAAAAAAAATATATGAATAAAAAATACATGTTGCGGAAAAGATTGCGTTTTTGTTGGCCAATCTTGCCATCACCACCTTTTAAGAATTTCAAAATTACAGTATTTGGGGTTGGTCCAAGCTAAACTCCACTGTCAAACTCTTTTGAGGCGGAGATTCCAAGAGTCCATGATGATGTTGGTTGCATCCATTCTTCCGAAAAAGAGACGGAAGACACCAGAATTAAAATTTCTAGCGGTGCTCAGGATGGACACTTTTCAAGCAATTCCTGGCACCTACTCCATCTTGCTGCAAGGTGGGGCCCTGCCAGTATGCAGCAGCCGCAGCATGTGAGCACCCTGCTATTTCTTGGGATGTTCACTAATTACTTGTAACCAGATATGTCCAAAAATATGATAAATATATATATAGGCCACAAATCATTTCAAGGAAATATGATATTTTTTTAATGCAACTTTGGATCATTTTTTCCTTCGAACGTGTTCTGGGCCATGGCAGTTTCAGAGTAGCAACCTCAGCCACAAGGCATCCCGATGGAGCTTCTGAACAAGACCTGCGTATCTTGCCCTGGGAAGCTGCATGTGGAACTCTGGGCAGGGTTTTCCCACCGAAAGCCTTAATTAAAAAAATCGTCATTATAATGGGAGAATCATGGGACAATAGGATAATTAATTTAGCGTGCTGATATAATGATTCTTTTTTGGGTCAAACCATTAAATCACTATCACCTCGGCTTCGCGTACCAACCATGAACGAAACTTAAATTGGTGCAACAATTTCCAGATCATACGGAATGAACTTCAATGTGCGGACGCAAACGTTGGGAGATCCATTGAGAAGCACCCAATTTGGCTGGCGCAGATCTGGCGCAAGTCCCCCTTTCCTTTCAGGTGGATGCGATCCTGGAGCAGGCTGGGGCCCCTTTGGGATCCTTCGGGTACCCGAAGCTGGTACTTGTAATGCACAGTCCAGAAATGTCCACAATTCTGAGTGGAAAAGTGGTTGCAGTGGATTTTTGATGAATTTTGTTTCACGGCCATCTTGTTTTGCTTCAGACATGGAAAGCAATTAGTTCATCAGCAAGTACGTCTAAGTAAGTGTTGATCTGATTTTGAGGTGCAGGGCTTGCCCATGACTGTCGTGGTTTGTCCCCTGGTTGGCTCAACCAAAACAAAGTGCTTGGACCTTCAAGCGACGTTCAACTTGCCCAAGTTGGTTTCCCCTCAAAACCCTGAAAAAGATCACTTTGACTGCCAGGTCACCCAACTGCCCCCTGCCTTTTTTTCCGGTGGTGACCCTGACCCTGGGCGAAAAATCCGTTGAAACAGAAGCACCGTTGGGAGGCTGGCCTTGCGAATGACGTGCTCAATTGCACAGTGAAAGGTCGGGGCATTGGTCACTTGTTTGCACCAGCAAAATGATGGAACAAGATGGAACATGAGGTTTCCAGTTGTGGCAAAAGTTGAAGGATGTCACATGTAAGTTGGCTGTGCCCTTTGAGATGTTGGGATTCCACTTGGTTCAACGGTTTTGTTGCCCTGTGTTTAGTGCCCTATGGGAATGTTCAGAGCTTGATGCTTTGTTTGAATGCATATCGGCATATCGGCATATCAATGCATCTCATGTGGTGACAGAGCAGCGCCAGAAAATGCTCGCGTCTTTTCGAGGTTTGTGTGTGCTGGTGATCATGGGTCAGGAAGGTGTGTGCCGCTGCTTGAACCACTTTGCAGGACGGGGCCCGGTGGGGACTTGTTGGGCAACCAGTCTGTTGGGGCCAGTTGGATGGCAGCACTAGAAGCTCCAACAGCCTTCGCCATCGCCAGTTGCGGCCAGGATGTCGTTGGGGCGTTCGTGCCACACTCATCAGTGGAGACATGCCGGCGACCAACAGCTTCCCCTTGGCCGAGGAGGCCATGATTTTTATGTGTTGTTGGTGTGTTGGGTCACTATGATCACTGACCGACTTGGATTCTCCAGGCAAGGCGGGATGGCTACGACAAAGCTGATTGGACCACAAGTGAGTCGCTTGACTGCAGAGTGCAGGGTTCAAATATGTTCGCAGTTGATGGGCCACTGTTGGAGGGGAACCATGTGCTTGAATATTTTGAATGGGCTTGGGGCATCCATTTAGTTTCGAATCCAAATTTGTGAATTCACAAATTCACACTTGAAATTCTGCTCGCACTGATCGATATCGATGTGAAATCCAGGTACAACCCTGCCAGAGACTTTTGGTTGGCTGACGACAAGGCCTGATCTGCCCTTGCTGTGCATAGGACCCGGATTGCGATGATTGCGCTTTCGACTATTCCCCCCCCATTAATTAACACAGACAACAATAGTGCAGCTGGATTTGTGCATTTGGAGGCATCTTGAGTTGGAGGCCGACATCCCTTGGCCTCCCCGTATTCAATGTAATGCCAACCATGATAAGCATGGCCCATTTGTTGTTGACATTGGGGAGTCTATTTTTTGGAGGCAGTAAATGCAGTACTTCCCCGAGTGCCGAAGACCCTCACAACAGAGGCAGGCTTTGGCAGTGGCATATCACCTGTGCATCCAAGTCATCGACATTATGTATCCGGTGGTTGGGAGGGTGCTATGGGATCTATGATGATCTATGGGTATCCATATTCCTTTTCAAACGGGGAGCCAAGGAGCTACTAAGAGTTTCCCGACAGCATGATAGTTAGGTTAGGAGTTAGGATATTCGAATATCCACACGGGTCATCCCCCGCAACCCCGGCGCCAGGGCATGCTGACGCACGTGGCGAAGCCCACTTCGGAAGCCAGCACAGACGTCCTCAGCGAATCGGACGAGGAAAACAGCAAGTTGCAGGCGTGGCAAGCAAGGTGTGGTAGGATTATTCTAGATATTTCTAAAATTTAGTTAATTCATGGATAATAAACACCTCCAGAATCATCCAAACCCCACCATACCTACAGCCCAAGCATACACTCCAAAGCTTCAACTCGACAGATGGCACACGACATTTGTTTGGTGGGGGGGTGCTCCGCTTTCCTGTGATATCGGACCAGGGGCAATGATTGCTGAAGCATGTCTATGAGTACAGGATTACCCTGCTTCTGAGGTTTCACATGATCCCAAATTACAAGAAATTACAATATACATCAAATTGATTGCTCTTGAGATTTTTTCCCTACCAGAATTTCATATAGGTATGGATCAATATCTATTAATACCATTTTTAGGGGAATGAACATCCATTTACCAGCTATTTTTCATATATCAAACCCAAAACAACGAGATTTTTGATGGAATTTTACAAAAACCCTTCATTGACCTCCAATCACCGCAGGGCCGTGCGCAACATTTGTGGTATGGTTCGGGTGCGATCATGTGACCCATGAGGCACCGGCAGGCCTTACGGGGGGCGTTCCACGTGCTTTTGCTCCAGCTGGTTATCATTCATCATCCTTTCTGAAGTGCGTTGGCTTCTTTATTTGGCCATTTCTGCAAAATCCGGAAACTATTTCTTGAATTTTCTTGCACAGTTCAATTTGACACTTACATCATGCTTAAATCAGTTAAATCTTTATGTTTTTTAATGGTTAACTCAGGTTAAATCCCTATCTTTCAGGGTCAAATCTCTATATGGCTCAGGCAGTGGACGCAACCAAGTGCCCGATGCCAGCGTCACCGTTGAAACAGCGGGCGACCTCTTTGGACTTGGACGCTCGGAACTCTGAAGTAACGTGCATCCCAAAAAGAAAACGATAAAGATGGAGTTCGGACGGGTTTGGAAGATTAAACTTGGAAAATAAAAAAAATGCAAACCTGGTGAAAGCATGTGAAAGCAGCTATTTCGCTCAGTATTTGATCGTTTTTGAGCAAATTACGCATTGCAAGGTTTTCGGGCAAGCAAGTTCTTACAGGTTTCAAAAGCGTTTTTTTTGTCAGATCGAAAGCCCCGTACCATTAAAATCCATTAAAGATATTCCAGATTTGGGAAACAAGAGTGGCATTTGGGTGAGATATAGCGAAATACCAATCAAGTGGTTTCCAAGTTGAGCAACGAACCAGACACATTTCCAGCCCAGATTTGTTGACCTGCCCCAGTGCCACATGGTGTGCACGTGTTGGACTACTGTTGCGTTCCTTTGTTTTCATTGCATGCGTTTGCGTCCGTAGAGAAGTGTTCAGCAACATTTGGGCGCACTGCGTTACTTTATGGGTCTGTCACTGAGGTTCTGTATTCTGATTTCTGTTTCACATCCTGAGTCGTCATGATTGACTGCATGTCAGGGGCCTTTTGGGGTGGCCCTCTCGGCAGTGCTTTCGTGCATTGAGCCGCAGCTGCTCCAAAACTTTTGCCACGAAAGTGCGTGGGCCAGGAGCGCGTGAAACCGTCGCGACACAGCACGGTGCCGTGTGTACTAATTTTAATGCTGGGGACGATGGCGGAAAACGCCAAGTTGAATTCGAAGTCTGAGTCGGGCAGATCGGGCAGCACTGCAGCTCTGGAAAAAAATGCATTTGGTTGTGACCAACTGTTGCAGAGTTTGCATCGCGCTCCTGTTGGTGTTTCTCTTGTTGTTGTTGCTGCTACTTCTGGTTGGTGGATTCAAATGCTGACTTTCTATGTCCTATTCGACTGGGAAGGTCGTGCAGATTCAGGGAGGGACATTGAAACCACCAACCAGCTTCTGTTTGGGTATGGTATGTCCAAAAAAGTGGACTTCGGGAATCAGCCCTGTCATGGTGTAGTTGAAGCTATTTGAGTTTAATCCATCCGTGGGGGTCCCGTTCTTGGACACACTTGTTGTTCCTTGTTCTGTTGCATGCTTGCATGTAGCGCAGTGCACAGCCAGTAAGGCTCGATGACTGTGTCCATCCCTGTCCAATAAGAGGGGGCCTCTGGGGCACCAAGCACCAAGGAGTAGTGAGTAGTCAGCCGCCACGAATCAGCCGGAACCCACCAAATGTATTGCATGGTGTAACTATCAGAGAATGTGGCAACTCATGATTGTTCACAAACTGAGGCTGCGGTTCTAACCCTGACTTTCTCGTTGAAACCCCAGTCACAGGCATTGTAATCTAGTTTTCTTGCAAGCAGATTTATAACCGCTTGTGAGCTTCTAGGCAACAGACTCTCAGCAGACTGCAAATCACATTCTGGAATGATCCTTGAGATATATAGCTGCATACTATTTGCAAACTCCAGAGCGCTCAATCACAAGTCCTCCATCCACGTCAGCAACTGTCAATGATTCTCCACTACAGTGACACTTCTTGGTTTTATTGACGGGATTGCTAACCAATTGCCAACCTGATAGCGCAATTCGTTTCAAGACCCTTTACCCAACTATTGGTGTCCCTGCCCCCATGCAGGGCGGATGCTAACGGCCTCCGCCATGTATAAAATGCCGAATTTTCATGGTCGCGGCTAGACACGTCGTGGCCCGGCCGTTGAAGGACTTGATACAAATCAAATCGCAGTCATTGTTTGATGTCAAAATTCATGGTTTGTTGAGTCTGTTGAATCTTTAAGTGGCAGATACAGCAGAATCGAGTCCTTTGCAAACATTCCATCGTTTCAGAGTGTACCGTGACTTGAAAGTGTGATTCAAGCCTTGATTTCAAAACCATCTCACCCATGTCCAGATCGGGTGCAGATATCGATATCAATTGATCGGGGGAAGTTGGTAAGGACCAGACCGGTGTCCAAGGACCGGGTAGTCCTGCGGCAAATCATGCCTCCCACGGAAAGAGCGAGATCGATTCAGAGGTTGAACGTGTTTCAGCTCACTTTTGAGGTGCTGAACATTCAGCTGTGTAGCTTCACTTCTGCATGCGAGCGTATTCGGAGCTGAGTTTCTTTCTTTTTCCCAATCCAGATGCTACTGTAGTAGTGACCCTGGGCCCCAAAAAGTGCCAAAAAGTCAATATTGATCATGTTGAGCTGTGCATTTGTGGCTCCCTCCGATTCGCTGCGCATGCCGGGATTGATGAATACCTTTGATTTGGGTTTGAAGGAAAGGACACATTTGGCAAGCTGATGCCATTCCCGTGATCCGTCTGGCAGACAAATAGGTATGATACCTAGGTTGTAATTCTACAGTCCAAGAATTGATGAACAATGATGAACAAGCATGTGCACACCACTATCATAATTACCCAGCACAAGGGTGATATAATTTGACAGAACTTCTTTACTTGGTATGACTCTGAGCAAACCGACGAGAAGCCTAATTGTTGCCTGAAACGTGGTCATGCGGTGCTGAAAAACTGCAGCCCTCCTGGCCGGCCTCGCAGCTGTTGACTGTGCAAAAAAAAGTCGAGGTCGTTTTCAGCTGGTGATGCTGCATTTTTTAACCGCCGTTTGGATGCGGTTTGTGCCCATGATGGCAGTGGTGGGAGGGTTGTCCATGAAGGGCGAGATTACTATTCTAGCTGGACAGGTTTTCTTCGTCGTCTCATCCTGGAGTAACTGTAGAGTGCTGTCGTTCAGTGAAAAGTTTGTTTGTCTATACAGTATTACCCAGATGCTCCATGTATGGAATATTTACCAACATTTGCCCTAAAAATCACCCAAATGTAGGTAAATATACCATACATGGAGCATCTGGGTTATACAGTGAAATTTAATGAAAATTATTCATGACACGGCACTGGTTCTGCAAGATTTCGGGGTCCCTACCACCTTGACTGCAGCAGATGTTTTTTGCGGGCACAACCGGCACCGAAGGGGCATCCGGTGGGTCTGGACAGGACTTGGGAATGGGACCTTGGCTGCTCTATTCAGATATGTCACAAAATTAAAATGGAGGTCAGAAACTAGAAAGTGAAATCCGTAGCGAACCAACCCATCTGGGTGTCTTGCTTTTTTGATTTTTTGGGGAAGCGTATTGCATTGACTTGGGCTCCAGTCACTGGAAAAAACTCCGGTAGCCAACCTAACCCAAGCATTCCATAGGAATCATCCTGCGGCATCCGCATTCCCAAGTCAAGCCCAGCACATGTACAGTATCTGGATGTACTGCATGCTGGCTGCCAACAGACTTGAGAGTAGTGAGATGAAAGCGGCTGAATATGCAGGGAACGCCCGGTGCGATTTGTCGATTGGGATTCGCATCAACGGACGAGTGTTTGGTGATCTTTCTTTGTTTTTGCATCCTGAGTCATCGCCTAAATGATCAATTGATGACGATTCAAGTATTCAATTGATATCGATTGGCTTTCTCCTTGCTGAGAGTGAGAATCACCTTGCAGATCAACCTCAGTGCTGTTGAGGTTTGACTTTCGCAATAGCGGTGCCTTGCGTCAGCGTTATGATTCTTTGAAGTATGTGGTGAAACGGTCTGTGCCTTAGTTATTTCAACATATTTCAACATGAGTTGCGAGTCGACCATGGTTTCCTTTCGTACATGGTGATGAGTGGGGACAGTGCCATCACAACAGTCATAGACTTGTGACTTTGCGCCTTTGCCAGCCAAATGGCTGGTTTTCTCAATGAGATTCAAATTGACCTAGTGTCGCGCTGTGGCCATGGGTCCGTTTTTATGGCCAGGGAACGAGTGCTAAGCTGCGTTAATTTGACCCCACTTTGGAGGCAGAAGACAATCAATGGCCAGCAAACGTGGTAATCGGATGTACACGTGGCCCAGAGATGATACAGTAGTTTGCAAGAGTTCTTTTCCGCTGCTTCTGTTGGTTCAGACACAGTACTCCATTGAAACACAGAAGCCAACTTTTTTTTTCCATGTGGCTCCTCACTGTGACATCACACATCATGCTCGCTTAGCTCAGCCAAATTGAAGCTGGCACCGCCTTGCCAAAGAGTTGGATTTCCGCGTAATGAGATATATAGTGAAATCATGTGACAAACCAGCACGTTTTTAATGTGCATGGCGTTTTGAACCTCAGAA